CGCTCCTGGCTGGGCACTGCGCAGCGAGGGCGCACTCTAGGAACCCTTCCCGGGCAGCAGGAGCATGCCTGGCCTCATGCATGGGCTCAGGGCATGGCTCGGAGGGCAGGGAGTGGTTTGCGGCCCCAGGTGTGCCCTTTAAGAGAGAGGGGAGGAGTAAAGGTGCAGAGAAAGGGTGCAGGATTCACCAGGGTGGGGCTTTGTGGCTCTGCAGGGACTTGGACTGAGCCTCCTCGGTCTCACTGGGATGGAGTCTGGTTCAGGGTCCTTCCATCCTGACCTCCCTCCTGCCCAGCTGGAGGGCACCTCACATGACCTCAGCCTGGCTTGGGCTGAATGAGATGACAAGGTGCAGGGTGGGAGCAGCTGTGGACGGATGGCAGAGAGGCCAGGTGAAGGGGGTGTGGCCAGGCTGGGAGCCAGCAGCTTCCCCGGCCTGCCCCACCTTGCCCTGTCCCAGATGGCAGGCTTGGGTGGAACCCTTATGGCCACAGGGTCTCAAGGAGAGAACCCAAGCCCAGTTTGCCAACTGAGTGCCATCTGCTTCAAATCCCACCCTCTAAGACGCTGTGCAGTGGCAGGGTCGGACCAGGAGGCCCACGAGTGCCATGACATTGGGGCTACAGGGTGGGCAGCAGCACCTCTGCCCTCTGGCACAGTGAGGCAAAAGTGGGTGGTGGCAGGGGGTGAGCCTCAGGCCTGGGCGTCCTGGGAGCTACCAGGAGTCAGTGGGCAAGGCTGATGTGCAGATTCCTGGCCCTGCCCCAGATTCCAACTCTGGTGAGCATGCCAGAGGCTAACCCATGTTCTGACCTGCCCCTGTAGCCCCCACCATCCTCTCTTTGCTGTGGCCAGTCCTATTCCCACAAAGGCAGGGCCAAGGTCCCACACAGGGCCTAGACCAGGGGCATGGCTCAACTGGCCCAGCTCTGGGCATGCTTGGCACAGCAGGCCTGACACAGGGGTCTGCAGGGTACAACAGGCATGAGGCAGCGTGCCCCCAACACCACAGCACCATCGCCAGCCCCCAGAGAAGCACACAGTATGGGGTGGGGGCCAGCCACGAGCCCTGGGGTGGGACGGGCACAGGCATGGGAAGGAGAAGAGTGGGCATGTGGACCTCCCCTCAGCTGAGGAGGCAGTCTGAGGCCACTGTCCTCTGCTTGGGACAACAGCAGAGAGGGAGGAATCTGGTGGCTTCTATCCAAGCCCTGCAGACCCTGGTGGTCTGAGCACCCACCCACAGCCAGGAGGGGTCTTGTCTGGGAACTGGCAGAGGGAGGCAGCCACAGGGCACAGACATGCAGAGGGCGGTCAGAAGGCAGCTGGAAGGGTCTCAGATGGAATCCGCAGGAAGTGCGCAGTGGTCCCTGGGTGGCCTTCGCTGACCCACTGGGCGTCTCCACTCTCTCTGCAGGAAGGCTCCAGTTCCTCCCTGACCCAGCCCTGCTCACAGGGTTGGAATCCACCCCTTGTAGACCCTCACTCTGGCCTGCCCCTCTCCACCTGTGACCAGCGACTCCCTCCCCTCTAGACCTGGGAAGCAGCAAGGACCTTCTGTGGGACACATCGACAAGTCAGGACAAGTGGGGCCAGCAGAGGCGAGACTCATGTTAACGATCTAGGCATGCCAGGTGTGATGGCCATGCCTGTGATCCCACCTCTCTAGAGCCTGAGGCAGGAGGATCACAAGTTCGAGGCCAGCCTCAGCACTTAGTGAGGCCCTGTATCAAATAAGAAATAATAAGGGATGGGGCGTGGCTCAGTAGTAGGTGGCCCTGGGTTCAGTCTGCAGCATGCCCTGCCCCCATGGTAGAGATCTAGCAGAGGAAGAAGAGGAAAGTACCCTCTGCCCAGGACCTCAGCTCAGCAAGCAGAGAACTGGGGGAAGGGGTGATGACTGTGCTGTGTCCAGAAAGCCCTGAAACCCATTCAAGGACTAAGACCACAGGCTCAGGGAGAGCACCTGACAGGTGTTCCTCTCCTGCCCCCCACAGGAGGGTGGCATGAACTTGGGGTTTGACAGGAGCCCCAGGATGAAGAATGGGGTACAGAGTGGGCAGAACTGAGGCACAAAGGACTGATGGACACCCTGGAGAATGAATATGGGGGGAGTTGGGAGCCACAGATGGTTCTGAAGCTTGGGAGGGGCGGACTGCTGAAGCTGACATCCTGTCCTGGCACTAAGGGTTCCCTCCCTAGGGCCCTGTTCCCACTTATGAGGCAGCTACTGTGTGCACTCTGAGCTGGGATCAGAAGCAGCATCTTGTTGAGCACCTCAAGACAACCCCATGGGCAGTGCTATCTCTAGCTCAGAGAAGGCCTCTCTGCTCGGGATCAGGGGACCACTGCAGCATGCAGGGTGACTGCTCAGGGCCCTCTGTACCCCAGGGCCACCTTGCTCTCTGCTGCCTGCAAGATCCCAGCCTGGCACCATTCAGAGGGGTGCCAAGTTACATCCAGGAGATCAGGGCCAAACCTGGTGCTCCAGGGTGGGTTCCCCATGACCCTGCCTCTAAAGAATGTTCAGCCTGAGATCCTGGGCCAGATGCCCTCTGCCTGACTCAACCGGAGTGGACATTTAGGCAGCAGAACCCATGCTTTCACAGAGAACATTCCTCCCCTGTCCCCCAGGGCCTGCCTGGTGGGCTGGGCAGAAGACCCCAGACCTGGGCTGCATGTCTGTTCCCACAAGCTTTTAGACACCGGGCACAAAGGAGCTGGCTATGGGCCTGAGGGGAAAGGCAGCAGGGACATGGAGACAGCAGTCCTGCCCAGGGTCTTGCCATCTGGGACAGCAGGGCTCAGAGAACTACCTGACCCTCTCCCTCATGATGGCCCCTAGGCCCAGCACAATGCCTGACCCTCAGTGTGTCCCCACACAGGGTGGACAAATGAATGAGGGAAAGACAAAAGGGCTTGCTGGCCAACTGGTCTACCCACCTGGAACTAGGGAAGGGCAGTGCTAAGGTCGGGCATCCTTGGTCCCCTGCCTGCATCTAGGGTGACAGGTGACCTTGCAATTCAAATCCCCACACCCTTCTCTGGCTCTGTTACTGAGAGTCCAGAGGCTGCACCCCCTCCAGCCTGATGTCTGGCAGCCCCACCTGGCCCCACCCTGAGTTCTAGAACCTGGCTGATCACAGGCGGGCAGCAGGGAGCTAAGGGCGGGGCGGGGGCAGGTGGAAAGGAGAAGACAGTTGGGGCCATTGGGGTGGTGGGGGTGGTGGGGCAGGAGGACAAGGCCGTAACAGGGGCGGTGGGTGTGTGCTGGGGCTGGGCACTGCCCACCACCCGCCTGCCCGCCCCACAGCTAGAGGGCCAATGAGCATCGGCCAGCCTGATGTCACCCTGCAAATCTAGCCTGGCTCTCTAACAAAGAGAACAATGGGGCGGGCAACAGGGACGCTCTGACAATGCCGCTGCCCGGACCCCCACACCCTGGGCCTGCCCAGGAGGGTTGTGGAGGTGCCCCCAAAGCAGCTTCTGCAGCTGTCCCGTCCGTGAGCCAGGTTGCCTGACTGGGGGCAGAGAGCGGGTCAAAGCAATCTCTCACATCCCTTAGCAGTCCACCAGGAAGGGGTCCCCAGACTGCGGGTGTTGGGATGCTCCCTCTCTGCTTTACCAGATTTCCCTCCTTGACCCAGCAGGCCCTCCCTCAGCCACCTCCAAATCTGAGCCTGCCCCGCCCCACGGCTCTGGCGGGGATAAAGCGCCCACCACCCAGCGCGGGCCAGGTTCCCAGACCTGTCTTGGGGTGTCCCTGCGGGCTGCCGGGGCCCTGGACAGCCGCTGCAGACATAACCCTGTACTGGCTACAGTCGCCCAGACAAAGGCGGCGGCGGGCCTGAGAGCGATGGGAGGAGCGCAGGCTGCGCCCAACTTTCTCCCAGGGCCGGCGGCTGGACAAAAGCAAAGACGGCCACTCAGGCCGGAGCCCACGCGGGGCGTGTCCAGTGCTCAGCCGGGAACTGGGCTGTGGAGACCCCCTCCCTGGGGCAGGCGGTGCCCCTGACGGAGGCCACTCACCCTGGCGACCTACGATCTCGGCGACATGCTCCGAACTGGGCACCGGCACGCACTCGGTCATGTTCACGCTCTTCTTGCGGCTGCCAATCACGCTCATCTGCTCCGCCAGCAGCGTCGGGGGGCCCAGAGCCGCGGGATGGGGCGCGAAGCCGGCGAACACGTCCGGCGGCGACGGCCGGGGTGGCGGCGGAGGGGGGCTCACGTCGGGCTCCAGCAGCGGCAGCGCGCCGGGGGCCACGACGGGCGCCACGGCCAGGGACGCGCCGGCCTCGGGCCCGTCGGGGGTCGCAGGCTCGGCCTCCCCGCAGTCCGCGCCGCCCGCCACGCCGTCCCCCCCGCCCGCCGCCGGCCCCTCTTCCTCCGGGCGGCCGGCGGACCCCAGCCCCAGCGCGGACAGCTGGTCCAGCGCCAGGCGCAGCGCCGCGGCCGCGTCGTCGGGCTCGGGCGGCGGCCGGGGAGCGGCCTCTTCGGCGCCCAGGGGCGGGGGGCGCGGGCTGGGGTCCCCGCCGGTCGCCGCCCCCGGCCCGCCGCCCCCGCCGCCGTCCGGCTGGCCGGTGGAGCCGGGCATGGCGGGCGCTAGCGCTCGGGCCCGCGCTCCTGCCACTCGGCCGCCGGCCGCCCGCGCCGCCGCCCGCGCCGCCCTCCGCCTCTGCGAGCTCGGCCGCCGGCCGCCGGCATCCAGCGGCGGGGCGGGGGCGGCCGGGCGGGGGCGGCGGCGCGGGGCTGCTCGGGCCGGGCCGGGGGCGGCCGCGACTCTTTGCTGCTCGGCGGGCTGCGGCGGCTCCTGGCGGCCGAGGCGGCGGCGGCGGCGCGGGACGCTCCTGCCCTCCCGCCGCCCGCCGCCCGCCTCCCGGCCGCGCGCCCCGCCCCACCCCGCCCCGCCCTCCGACGTCACCGCTGCCAACAATGGGCGGCTGCAGCGCGCACGCGCGGGCCGGGCCGGCGGTCACGTGGCAGCCCCGCCCCCCGCCGTGGGCGCGGACCCGGGCGCTCGCACGTGCGGGCGCGCCCGCGGGTGGGCGGTGCGTGGGGCTCCGGCCCGAGTCCCCCAGCCACGGTCGTTCGGGCTTGCCGCTACCCCGCGCCTGCCCTCTCTCCTGGTGCCAAGGACCCCGTCCGCGCGCGCCCCGGGTCTCGGGCTCCTCTTTCCTCTCGAGTCCGTGCCAGGCTTCCGAGGCAGGCGCGCTCCTACTCGCCACCGCTGGGAAGGTCGGCGCCGGGTGGGGGCGGCTGTGTACCCCAAGCCCAAACCTCCGCCTGGGTGATGCTCCCCCAGGCCCACCCTTTCTGAGGTGCCCTGTGCCAGGGAGGTGGCCCTGCCTGTGGGTTCTGAGAGCAGCCTGGCGTGTCCACCTGCAGAGCCACCCAGTGCCAGGTGCCCTACCTTCAGCAGCCTCATCGGCCTGCTGGGCTTCTTTGAGATTCTCCTGGTGGATGGAACAGAATAAACCCCACCCCCACCGTGGCTGAGGGCGCACCTTGGGGCCAATTGCCTGGCAAGTCTGGGTTCGTGGGGCAGCCTTGCCTGTCCTGGTCCTCCATCTTTCCATCTCCTCTCCCAGCTGCGAACATCCACACAAGATTGTCCATCACTTTTGGTCACTTCTCTCTGCACAGTCATCAACACAGGTGCCCGTCAGAATATCGATGAAAGTCCTGGCACTAACCTAGGTAGGTTCCTCTGCCCAGAGCCCTCCTCCCTGCTGTGAAATGTCATTCCTGACCCCTGTCCAGATACAGCCCCAGTTCCTCTACTGGGGTCCCAGACTTCTGTTTCCTGCACTCCAGCATTTGGGATTGATAAGTACTTTCAAATACTTGATGTCTAGCCCCTTCCCCATGGGACTTAGGGAGACAGACTGACACCCTCACTCCCACTGTCCTCCTTGGCCCAGTCTCCACCCAGAAGCTTCCGCCTGCAGGGGCTGGTATTCAAAGCCAGAGGCTCAGCTGCCCAGCTGGGCACCAGGAGCTACACCACAGCCTGCACTGGACTGATCCTGTGGGGTGCTGAAGTGAGGGAGCAGGAGGGCTAGCTGGAACAGGACAGAGTGCCAGGCTGCTGACCGCGGGCGGGAAAGCTGAGACCAGGGTGGTTAGAGTGCACAGGCATTCCTCAGAGAGCCGCACACCTCCTGCCTCTGAGGGATTGGGGGTGGCTTCCAAAGAGGGGGCAGGGGAGTTCTTATGGAGGAGGATGTTGGGTCTTGGGGACAGAGTGCCTGAAGAGATCCATCGCTGCACTTCCCTCCACTGCCGCCCTGCCACACGGAGTGAAAAACAGGAGCACAGGGCCACACCTGCAGTCCCAGTGCTGCAGGCTGAGGCGGGAGGGTGGCACGTCCAAGGCCAGCCTAGAACTGGTCTCCCCAGAGGCAATTGAGTGAGACCCTGTTGGGAAATAAAAAGAAAAAGGGCTGGAGGTGTAGCTCAGCGGCAGAGCCCTCTAGATTTAACCTCCAGCGACAGTAAGAAAAAAAGTTCAAGGTTCAAGATGGGCCCTCATTAATCTTTTCTTTCTTTATTTTATTTTCTTCTGGTATTGAGATGGAACCCAGGGCCTCACCATGCTAGTCAAGTGCTCCACTGCTGAGACAGGGTCTTGGCTAAGTTGCCAGTCTGGCCCTGAACTTGCCATCCTCCTGCCTTTGCCTTCCAAGCAGCTGTGATGACAGCTGTGGCCACTGCACCTGGCTCCTGGTCATCTCGATGAAGCTGGGTGTTGGCATATGAACTTCACTGGGTCTGATGTGTGTTTAAAACCTTCCATATTAAAAAAAAAATCATTTTAAAAAATTTTAGGAAAAATCCTTTGAGAGATTGATTTGGAAATGTTTGTGGATTAAATAGCATCAATACCCCAGCCCATTGGGCATGGGTGGACATAGGGTGGAGTCTAGGTGGAGATAGTGAGGAGGCTGCTGCAGGTGCCATGGGGGTGGCCAAACCCTCACAGTATATGTGGTACTGGGGACTGAACCCCAGGGGCTCTACCACTAAACTACAGCCCAGGTTTTATTGTTTGAGACAGGGTCTCCCTGAGTTGTTGTGGCTTTGGCTCCTCCTGCCTCAATCTCCCCAGTGGCTGGAGTGACAGTCTTGTGCCACTGGCTTGGCTGGCCTCTTTTCCTATATATGTAAAATCTAACTGGGGAGGGGCTGGGTTGCAGCTCAGTGGTAGAGTGCTGGCCTGGCATGTGCAAGGATTTGGGTTTAGTCCCTAGCACTGCAAAAGTTAAAAATACGGAAAAAAGTAGATAAGGAAGATGAGCATATTGGGGGCAGTGGTGCATGCCTGCAATCCCAGGGGACTTGGGAGACTGAGGCAGAAGGGTGGCAAGTTCCAGGCCAACTTGGCAACTTAGCAAGGTCCTGTCTCAGCATAAAAAGAGAGCTGCCAGACAATGCTGTTCTCCTATGATCCTGGTGATCTGGGGGCTGAGGCAGGAGAGTCACAAGTTTGAGGACATCCTGAGCAACTTAGACCCTGTCTCAAAAATTAAAAGGGCTGGGTATGTGGTTCAGTGGTTAAGTGTCCCTTGTTCTGTCCCCTGTACCTCCACCCCACATACAAAAAAAGGCTGGCAATGCTAATTTTCATCATGAGGACTTTAGTAATAATAATGAGGACTTGAAAGGGAAAAAATCCTATATACTTGTAGTATTTTTTTTTCTTTTTTGTAGTTGTAGATGGACAGCATGTCTTTATTTTATTTGTTTATTTATGTGGTGCTAAGGATCGGACCCAGTGCCTCACACATGCCAGGCAAGTGCTCTGCCGCTGAGCTACAGTCCCAGCCCCTGTACTTGTAGTATTTATTTTTGTTTTGTCCGTTTGTTTTTTATTTTTGGTAGGGGGATTAAGCCCACAGGTGTTTTCTACTGAACCACAAATCTGAGTTGCTTTGTTTCTTGCTAAATTGCTGAGGCTGGCCTCCAACTTGTGATCCTCCTGCTTCGGCCTTCTGAGCTACTGGGATTACAGGTGTACACTACTACACCTGGTTATTACTTACAGTTTTAAAAGTATTAGGGCAAGATGGTAATAAGGAAGAAAGAATGTTGAAAACAGCGTTTATTGCATATAAGTTGTTTTCAAAAACCGTGGCTTCAAGGAAGTGAACTGGAAGCCAGATCTCAGCCCAGGGCCTCCCACCTGGTTCTGGGTGATCAGATACCTGGAAACTGCACCTGGCAAGATGCTCAGGAAGGATCATGGGTTTATTTTTTTGTGGCTACAGACTTTTTTTTTTTTGTCATCTGGTGGTCTGGGACCCAGGTTTGGGACCCAGTGGACCCCACCAGCATGGTGCTGTCCTGTCAGGCCCCGCCCTGGCCCGTGTGGAGCTTTGCCTCTCTGGAAGGGTGCCTAAACCCCAGCTCTGTGCTCACTCCTGGGGCAGGTTCCTTGCACTCAGCCTAAATTTATTTTTCTCTCCCCCCCCCCCCAGATTCCCAGCCAAAGCCAGGTGTGGTAGCCACGCCTGTCGTCCTCGTGACTTAGGAGGCTGAGGAGGAGGATGGCAAGGTTAAAGTCAGCTGGCTTAATCCCTACTACAAAGCAACCACCACAAACCGGAGGCCTTGCATCTGAGCCCCTTCCCAGCTCCAGATGGCCTCTGTGGGCGCCTGCTGCTGGCTGTTGTCCCACACCGGCTGCCTTCAGGTCCCACTTGCTCCACCCAGACTGGTCTCAGCTCTAGGGCTGGAATCTGGAGACAGGCTTCAGGCTCCCTGAGTCTTGGGGGGGGGGGGGGAAGAGAGATATTCAAATATATAATTGACATACATCAAAATTCTCTCTTTTAAAAGTAGACAGTTGTGCAATTTTGGGGACATTCCAGACTTGTCAGGGCTGGGGTTGAGCTCACAGGTGCTGGGCTGCACCCCAGGGAGGGCAGAGGACAGGGGAGGGAGCACTGGGAGCCCAGGGTCCTGTTTTGCCTGCCGCAGGGAGGGTTGGTGCCATCGTCCTCATCTCTCCCCAAACTGACTGTGCCCAGCTGAGGCGCCTCAGCCCCCCAGGAGAGGGTGTGAGTGCAGGGGAGGGGGCAAGGGGACCACTGCTGTCTTCCTGGGCAGTGTGAGCACCCGAGGCCCTGGCTGCTGCTGCACAGTGCAGGCTGGGTGGGGTTGGCGCCAGGTGCTCTCTGAGGGGCACCGCTACACAGCAGTGGGTCCTGGTCAGGGGGGTCTCAGCACCCCAACATCCTGTAGCAGCCGGGTCTGGCTTGGGGGGCCAGTACAGGTGGACATCACGGCCAGGCAGTTGGAAGCGCTCAGGCTCCATGCCCAGGGCCTGCCTGCCTGGCCTGCTCGACACTCTCAGGCTCTATGTCCACTCCCAGAGCCCACTTCTGGATGCAGGGTGTCCCCTCTAACACTGGACTGTATCTTTGGGGGCCCCTGGGGCCCTGTGGAGAAAGGAGAGCTCAGGAGGGACCCTGAGCCTGGACAGGAGGCGACAGCTGGTGTTGGATGGACTGAGGGCAAAGGGGCCCGTGAGGAATCGGGGTTGTGCCACCTTCACATTCACGAGGGGGACCTGGCCCTGTCTCGTGGCTTCACATACCTCTAGGTCAGAGTGAATGATCAGCCTCCTCGCAGGGGCAGAAGGGCAAAGGGCCTAGTCACCAAGGCCCTGCCCAGAGGGGGATGGGGACAGAGCCCTGGGGTCAAGAGGGGTCTTGAGTGCCATGGAGCAGGGCAGATGCTCTGGAGAGGCCAGCACATGGCAGAGCGTGGTCTCCCCTTTTCCTGGTCACGCAGTCTGGGGTCAGGGTGGGCTACTGAGGGCCTGGGTTGGGTGGGAACCCAGGGTCCAGGTGGGCAAGACCCTAGGCTGCCGTGGCCCCAGGGACCCTCCTGGAGCACACCCTCCTTTTCCAATTCTTCTGGTGTGTGGTGGGTGGGTGTGTCCTCACTGGGCAGTGGAATGTGACCTGTGACCCTGTGCCACTGGATGGCATCAAGGTGGGCCCTAGGTGACAGCATCAGGGCCCTCTCTACAGCTCCTCCAGCCTGAAGGGTCCCGAGGTACTCCCCTGCAGATGCCTTTGTGGCAACTTCCTACTGTTTCTTAAATATTTGTAGTCTTAGGTGGACATGTCTTGATGTGGTGCTGAGGACTCAGGTCCTCATGCATGCTGGGCGAGCGAGCGCTCTGCCACCGAGCCCCAGCCCCTACATTTTAAAAAATATTTTTTCAGTTGTAGTTGGACACAACACCTTTATTTATTTGTATGTGGTGCTGAGAATCGAACCCAGCGTCTCGCACGTGCCAGGCGAGCGCTCTACCGCTGAGCCCAGCCCGACTTCCTGCTTTATATGCCACTGTTATCCCTGGGTCCCAGGTGTTGGCAGGGTTGGGGGCCTGCGAGCCCCACTGCCTCCCTCTCATCATCCACTGACAGGTGTTAGTCCAGGGACCCTGGCCCCCGGGCACCTGGCCCTGCCTAGACAGGCTCACACCCCAAGGGCATGGAGAAGTCCTGGACCCTCAAAACCAACACAAGGCTCCACACCATGTTCTTGGAAGTGTCTTTATTCAGGTACAGTGCCCACCGCAGCTGTGTCCCCTACCAGGCAGGACCCCTGGCCTCAGGGTCACAGCAAGCACTGAAGCCATCATCCTCACAAGAACCCAGGCCAGGAAGAGGAGCTGGCCCCACAGGAGCTCCCCTGGCAGCCTCGTGGGAGACTGGCCCCGTCTGGCAGCCCAGGGAGTGAGCAGTCTTCCTGTGCCAAGGGTTTGTGCTTTGAAAAGTGACAGCATCAACCTGGCACTCCAGGCCATGGTCCTGAGGGCAAGGGGGACAATGCGGGTCTAACAGTGACCTTAGCAGGGGATCCCACGAATGAAGGGGGTCCCTTCTTCGGCCATCATGCCAGGATCAGCCCCCAACTGCCAGGGGTAGTGCTGGCTGAGCCCCAGGGGGAGCCAAGAAGGTGCTGCCCTCCCTCTTGTCCAGCCTGAGAGTGACCACATCCTGGCTGCGGCAGTCTGGGGAGCCAAAGGACAACCAGTGCCGTGAGCATCAGGGCGATGGAGGAAGAAGCAGGGCCTAACTGGGCCCGGGCATCTCCAAGCCACAGCAGGGGTGGCGGGTGTGTCCAAGCAGCGGCCACTCCCTTTGCCACTGTGCCACCACATTACTCTCAGAGGTGGCTATTGTGGGGGCCACACCCAAAGGGCCAGCTCATTTCTCTGCAGCTGGACTAGGGCTCTCCCTGGCACAGCAGGGGAACCTGGGTGTAGCCTGGTTCCAGCACCTGCACCGAGGCAGGGCGGCGGGTCTCAGAAAGCTGTCCCCATCACCTCTGCTGGTGGCCAAGCAAAGGGTCAAACAGCCAAGTTCCAGCCCCATTTGTATCATCCATTTATTGAGGGAAGTGACCTCCTAGGTGGCTGCTGGCTCTTGGATGCCCTCACTGGGGTCACCAGCTCTACCCAGCTGGGTGGCAGTGCAGGGCCATGGTCACGATGCTGTCCCAAGGGCTGACCTGCTGCCCAGAGCAGTGCTGCTCACGCTGCACGGAAAGGAGGTGAAGCTGTGTTTCTGGAATATTTCCCTGGCTCCTGGAGACATGGCAACTGAAAAGACCTCATGTGTGACCAGCTCCAGGGCACCGAGGCACGGGCGAGTCTGCTGGCACCTCTCCCATGTGGAGGAGCTCGGGGCAGAGACCACGGGGACAGGCCAGGGCACCACAGGCCCGAGTCCACACGCGGGGGCCCTTAGCCCCCAGAGAAGAGCCATTGTGGAGGGTCCACCAGGCAGGGCTGCCCT